CACATAGTTCACGCTCCAACCATGGGCAAAGCTAACCACTGTTGTCCCTCTGGCTATGGGGAAGCTATGCATGGCCGACCCCGCAATACATACATAACATGGCCGGAGATCATGCACATATAGTCACTCTTCTATACAAAAGGGCAAAATTGCCAATCGCCGATGATCCCGACTCATAACACATATTTTCTATATCGTACGTGTCAGCAGGTATCATCGGCCAACGAAGCTTGGCTCGGAACAACGATATCGCAATGCACACCCATACCACTTATTCCTCATTCTGGTGCAACGCCAGCCATGCACAACAATAATGTATCGATGCCGGCCATGGCCAGTAGGCAAATGAGAGCAGTGAATATTCATTCACATAGTCCCCTTCAACACATGAGGGAGTTTCCTTCTTTGCTGCATATACCTATGTGTTTCTTATTCTTAAATATTTGAACATATATTCACATATGCCTTGTTGTTACTGCAGTTAAACACAAGCTCATGAATCCAAGCTCATGGGGATTATTTGGGATAAATTATGGGAGCAGTGGCTTAGCAAGCATGGATGGAAGGACGAACGCTGCCCCTATGGCAAAGCAAGGCATCCACACCAACGAAGTTTGGCACTAACAATGCTACCCGACTTCACCAGAAAGAGGCTGGGTGGCAAAAGCATGGAAATGAACTTGATTCTAGGAATAGTGCAATTAGATGCTAACTGAAGATTGGAAATCCCAGCATAAGCTAACCAGAGGTGCTGTCTTGGTCACCATCCACCACTTGTAGCCATATTTAATGTAAGGGTGGCTACACAAGTTCCATGGCCTTGGAAACTGTTGTAAAAGATTGTTATCTGCTGGCAGAATCCTTTAAAATCTTGCGCAGAACCTAGGGAACTCACCAAATCCTATGCAGATGTTGTTTTTGCTAGTTGCACTCAAGCACCTCCCCAAAGATGAGATTCGTATGGCTAGGGACATTGCCAAAAATATACAATTTTCGGTTTCTTCGCCAGAACCAGCAAAACTTTGCTAGGACCATTGGGCAATTCATAATGCCATTGTCACAGAGTTGCCAGTAGTGCCTGGAACCACCAAAAATTCGATAGCTCACCCCAACCTTTCTGCAGACCTCTAAGCTACCAACCAGAATTATAGCAATACCACTGCACATATATAAATTATCTGCTCTTCATTTTCAAGAATACACACACAAAGAAAAACGCATGCAGTACCACAACAGACTCACATACCAAAACTCTCATTTAAAAAGAAAAATAGATCCCATCTTCAACCCATGGCTCTGCACACATGAATCATTTGTCAACCACCATTTCTCTTGGGTTTCCTAAGTCTTCGGTCCTGTTGAGTATTCTCCAACTCTACAGAATATTTTCTAGCTCTAGAAAGTCTTTTTCAACACCGTAGAACATTCTTCGACTCTGCAGAACACTTTATCACACTACAGAACATTTCCCAGCATTGCAAAATATCACCCAACACTGCAGAATATTTCCAGATTTGCAAGATATTATGGCCAAGGAACAACATGCTACAGTTTCAGCTTTCAAATAGTTCTTCTTGAGCATCAGACGATCAAGGTTGCGAGGTTAGCCTCAAAACGGGATCATGCATTCCATTCGTAAGCTCCCAAGCGATCATCCTTCCTTCTCCCATCACCACTCTCAAGTTTATCCCTTTTGTCTTTGGAAGAACCCCAAGATTGGAGCTGTTGTATTCTTCATTTTCAATATGAGGATTGTTCGTTACAGAGTAAAAATCTACACTATGGATGAAAGAGGTCACATTTATTATCATTATTATCATGTTACAATGATTTATATATGAGTTTGATTCTTAAGTTGTAATCTTTGAGGCATATGTATTTCACATCTTAGATGCCTTTCCTCAACAACGCATAACCTATCTCCATCATGTTTTTGGTAGTTGTGTGATCACCTTGAACCTCTGGAATCCCGTCATTGCTGCTTAGCTCTACCGGCTTGGCTGAAAAGTTCATCTTTAAAAGCTTTTGCTAGAAAGTGGACTGCGAGATATCATCACCCAATGGAACGGGATGGCCCATAACATGTAGCCTCTTGCACATGAGGCAAGTGTCGTTGAAAGAAGCCCCCTCATTTTCTTGGGTGTCATCCTAGTCAGTTTCCACGTCACCACCACTGTTGATTCATCCACCTACATCACCAACACCCCCGAACAACAGTTTTATAATTTTACAATAATTTTGAGCCATCTTCAATCCTCCATTTCAGACACTTGCACTCACATGCCCCTCTCCTTGCCACTCATCTTTAATTTTGTCTCTTTTTTATTTTTTTATGCCTTTCCACAATTGCCCTTGACTGTACTTGGAATTGAAGGTGGCAAAATAGCACCCAACCCGTTAATCCAACCCTAATTCAACTTGTAAAAAGTGGGTTAAGATCAAGTAGTATTGGACTCGTGATCCATTCAAATCAACCCCAACGGGTCATGGGTCAACTCGTGGGTTCACTAGTTGACCCGTTTAACCTGTTTGTTTTTAACATTTTAAGAAATATATTTTTATAAGATATTTTTTAAGGAAAAATAACTAACAAATATAATTTAAAAGATATCTAATATGATGGTGGCCATACAATTTATAAAACTTTTTAAATGAAGTTGATTCTATTAATTTAAAATTTATAAATCAAGTATTGTATATTATATATGATTACTGATAAAGAAAACAAAAAAATAAATAAATGAATTATTCAAAATATTGCACAAAAAAAAGTCATTTTGCTTAAATTAATCAAATAAAGAGAAGCAAAATTATTAAAAAAAAATAATTATATCAAAATTATTATAATTTAATTTTAATAATTAAACATTCAAAATGTGACTAATTATATAAAAGAATAAAAAAATTTCAACTTGCAGGTTAACCCATGACCCGTTAGGGTTAGGTTATGATTAATATTCGTTAACCCACAACCCATATATGACTCAACCCGTAAAACCTATGACTCAACCCATAAAACCTGTGACTCGAGTAAACCCAACTTAAACCTGACTCAACCTACCCATTTGCTACCTGTACTTGGAATTCTAGAGATACATCATGTAACAACTAAAACATTTGATGATGTCTTTAACTGTTTGTTACGATTAAAAGATTGACATCTACATGCAAGATCTCAAGTAATTTAAATTTTAAAATAATTTGAAATTTTAAAAATAAAAAAAAATATTTTTTTATTATATATCTCATGGTATAACATAAAAAAATTAAAGTTATTTTTAGTGTTTTAGTGTCCCAGCCATCTTTCATACCTTCACATGTACCTACGTTTCTCATCTCCTCGATCTCATCTTTTCGTTTAGCCTTGGCAAAGAAGATTACATTTTCATACTTCAATAAGAATTCAAATATTGTTCTAGTTTTTAAATAACGAAGGAGTCAAGTTAAATTTAGGGTTTAACTTTACCCAAAAAAAATGACGTTTAGGACTTACTATGAAACATAACCTTTGATTTTTTTACTAATGTTTTTTTTTATATATATATAAGAAATGGAGAAATATATTAAAAATAAGAAACTATAGTAAAATCTCCCTCACAGGACATATAGCCTAAAGCATGATAGCTTAAAAACATAATCAGAAGCATAACCTACAACCTAGTAAGAGATTTAAATTATGCCCATGACGAACATAAACAATTAAGTAAAGAGAGTCATCTGCAACTAGAAATTTTATTGACTCAATGCACTCCAAGAGGGGGGGTGAATTGGAGTTGGAGAATTTTCACCTCTTTGCAACCACCAAACAAAAATTAAAGAGAGAGTTGAGAAGAAAAACTTGCACAATGATTTTATAAAGGTTCGGTCCAACCACTTGGAGCCTAGTTCTCTACCTTGGCTTCACTCACCAAGGATTTCCTCTTCACTCTCCACTAACAAAAACAATGGTGGCTTAAAGGAGCCACTCAATCCTTTACAAGAAGAAGGGTTTCTCTCAAATCTCACCCCTTTACACTTAAACCCCAAAGGTCCTCTCTACAGATCACTCTTGAAGGAATCAACACATCCCCAAGATCACTCACTAATAGCACAAGAAGAGGATTACAAACAAAGATCTCTCAAAGATCAAAATCTCAAGTTAAAGCACAAGTTGGTAGGTAAAGATATTCAATACAATACTCTCTAAACTTCTTCACATCTGTTACCAACCATATTTATAGCCCCTTGCTCGAAAATAGCCGTTTCTAGCCATTGGGGGTCATTAAATGCCCTGCAGGACGCAAACTTCGAGCTGCAGAATTGTCAGGAAAGCCGGCTTAACTTCCTAGAGCCAGCTCTGTACAGCCGGCTTAAACTTCCAGAGCCGGCTTTGCGGGATTCCTGCACATTCTGTTTTCCTCGAGAGCCGGCTGCAAAACTTTGAGCCGGCTTTGCAACTCCGACTTTAAATACATTAAATAATCTTCAAATGACTCGACCGTTGTGCATTAAATGCACCCTCACAGCCGGATGCAAAGCCAGAGCCGACTTTGCATCTTTTCTCCACGCGCGCCAAACAACGGTCTTCCAATTTTTGCCTATAGAGCCGGCTGTAGCTTCTAGAGCCGGCTCTCTGCACTTCCATTTCACCAGAGCCAGCTGCACTTTACCAGAACCGGCTCTTTGCACATTTTGCAATCTTTTAGCAACTTAACTACACTCTTAAATAAACCAATTAGTCACTCAAATGTGTTTTGTAATCATCAAAATCATAGGTACAACAAATTGCAATTGCAATTGCTATATGGGCTAAATAAGGCTACTAATGTAGAAAGGAGAGTCACTGTGAGCATCAGAAGCTACTGGATATCCTCACCTAGTTAACCAGCTTCATGTGGAGAGCAAAGGATTTCAACAACAAACAGTCCCCAAACTATAGGTTGCCATCTAATCTATTCTTAAAAAATAATCGACAAGATAAGGGGCATGGTCCTCCTCTGTGCAATCACAAGGTACCCCATTTGTCTGCAAGTGCTCCCAAACATGTTCCCATCTTTTCCAATCCTCTTCCAACCCTTACTATCGTAAGTTATTAAGGGAACTAGAGCCCTTTTGCCAACTTCAATACCATACTTTGCTTGCAGAACACCATCAGCTTCCCCCACAGCATGTCAATTTGACCCTCCACACCAAAAGCCACCTATGGCGCCCCACGCATAGCCTGACCAGAATCTGAGATTGCCCTTCTCCATTTCTGATTTGCTCAAGATATCATTGATGTCGCCTAAACGCATCCAAGGCAGAGGAGAAACTGTCTTGGGTGATTTGAGATGGGTCCATGACTCCTCCCTGCAAGTAGTCTCTGGTTGGCCGGAAAGCCTTATTAATTGCCATTGACAACCACCCGGATCTACTATTTCAACATCTATGTGATATGGCGAGAAAGAGGAAACTTGAAGGTTAAACGCATCATTCCAGAACAGAGTTAAGCCACCCCCTCTCTCTGCACAATCGCTTTCAGAACAATGAGCCAACCCTAAGTCTATTCGGAACAAATTCATCTCCATCTCCATTTCCATTTGCTTTGTTGTAGGGAGTAGGACAAAATTAGGCTTTGTTGGACACACAATTAGTTTGGCTCAAAGATCATGTAAGCCTCTCCAAGATTGCGATAATTCCATGCCAACATACACGGTTGAGCCATGGAAGGAAAAGAAAGAAAAATAGGGGGAGAAGCCCTTCAAAACAAGGAGTAGCGCCTAGGCAAAGAGCTTGCCCGTCAAGAAGAAACCCTAGCGGTGGCAAAAGAATATTGATTTTTTTACTCATGTTATTTTCTAATCTTTGTATAAATTGATGTTTTCTTTTTGTTAAGTTTATTTAGAAGTGTACTACATAACACTTCTTTTCATAGCATCTTATTTAAAAATATAAGTTTTTTTCTAAATAATTAATTTTTATTAATATTTTATATATTTTAAAATTTTTTAATTAATATTTTATATATTTTTTATGATATGAAAAGATGAAAAAACCTATAACTACAAAATAGACCAACAGAACACTCCAGAACCGAAACCTCATATTTTTTCTGGCATCTAATCTTTTATTATAAAACCTATAGCATTTGGTTGGACTTTTAAAAAACCAACCTTAATAAACCCATAAGTTTAAAACTTAGAATAAACCTGAAAATTTTACTTTTCTACTTCAATGGATTTTATAAGTTTTTTTTTTTATGCTTAATTTATAAGAATTTTTTTATATTAAATAAATATACTAGCAAGTTTAAACACCTCACATAGTGGGGTGTAAGCCACTAATAGTTTCAAAAAAGTGTGGTGCAATTCAAATTACGTTAAGGTCTCATTTGGTATAGCGGTTTTGGGGTAACGGTTAGCGATTTTACCTAAACCGCTAAATAT